GTTACATGGCAGCCATACCATGATTATGCACTTGGCAAACATTTATCTTCTGATGTTCTACATGCTTGATTAAATCTCTGAAAATTGGAATCATGTGTTGATCACAATCTTTAACTTTTGCAGCATATATTCCTGCAACATTGTGGCATACAAACTGCACACCACCTACCATGGGGCAAGAAGGTTGCTTGTATAGATTATATGCAAGGATTCTTTATAAATGACATGCATATGGGATTTATACAGGGATTAATCTACCCATGCTGCTGGCAGCACTGTGATCACCAATATGCAGAGCTTAAAGAGCTGTACCATCATGTCTCAAAGGACCACCTAACAGGGATTGAGCTGCCATGTGTTATATCAGGTAAAGGGCCTATTCTGCTCTTTTAATTCTGCAACTTCCTCTGAACATTACTATCATCAGGATGCATGCAGCTAGTCCAGTGCAACTATTTGCATAGACATTTCTGGGAGCAACACCAGTTTCCTGATGCCAAGGATCAAATGGTGCCTGTGCAAAATAGTTTTGTTCGGCATCGAAGATCTCCGTGCGAGGGCACAATTTGGCACTCAAGCTCAAGCCCCCCCGATACCCCAGTCTATGAGATACCCGACCGTCTGCTTCCTTCACACGAGGCCCTCTCACTGACGGTCAAACCTAGTCCAACGGCGCGTATCAGCCGTTTGAGAACCGCAGATGCCTCTATGTCCCACGAGCCAAGGTGGATGCGAGATAAAAGCCCCGAGACAGACGTCTCGTTCCAGCCTCTGTCGCGGACGTTGGACACGGCCGCGAGGGCGCCGTACAGCGACAGCTCGAAAGGCGGGCCTCCCCCGCTCCCCGACAACCTGCAAGCATCCGCTCATCTTAGCACGACCACGCGGGCGGACATGGTCGTGCTCAGCATGCCGACGGCGGACCCAGGAGACATGACCTCGCACTTCTCTCGCATCCCGCCGCCGTGGCGCAGGGCGCGAATGGAGCGGTACCACCCACGGATGGCCAACGGCTTTGACGCGTTCCGCGTCCAGTTCAACACCGCGAAAATGGGCAACCTTATCGACGGCCGCGGCCAGCTGCCCGACCCGTCCACCAGCAACGCGCCGCTCAAGTGAAGAAGCTCACGGCTTGGCGTTCTTTCGATACATGCGTCCCCGTGTGACGCTCTGAAGACAGGGTTATTTGTGGCTGCAGCGGTGAGGGAAGGAATAGGATTGTCGCGAAGGGCGTTGAATGGTGATGCTCCACTGATTACCAAGGACTAGTTGTGTTAGTCGTATAGAACCACTTTAATTTTTGTCGATGTGGTATATTCATTTTCCTCCTCTTGGTACACCATTACATGCACTACGAGAACCTCAATTCTGCATATATTCATCTCAAACACTACAACACGTTTAAAGTCCAGCGAACTGAGTGTGATCAATGCCTCTCGCAGGCATCCGCGCTTGAGGGAGACGACACTCAGTCGCTCTGCACCGAGCCGAAGCCGGGCATACAGTTCTGACGCGCGATCGCAGCGCTGCCGCTGCGCATGTAGCAGATCCTCGCGGTAGCGCAGTCGCCAGTGCAGGGCGTGGTACGTGCAGCGGTCTTGCCCTGGAACGTGTTAAACATGTTGACCAGGGTCGAGTTTAACTCCATCTCTACATGGTCAGACATGTTAGTATCCGTGCGGCTACCACAGACCTGAGACTTACGTTCGGTAACCAGATGCCACCAGGTCGCGTTGAGCGGGTCGTTCGGGCCCCAGCCCGTGATGTTACCACCGTACGCCTCGCGGGTGCTATATTCGTACTGGTAGGTGGGGCCGAATTCAATCTGCGAGTCGAGCTCAGGGAAGGCGTTCACGTCGGCAAACCAGCTACGTGGAGGGTGAGCCTGCTGACGAAGGTAGTGAGACGCGGTGGGCTTACGTGTGGGCATCGAGGATATCAAAGGTCTATCGCGGTATCTGTGTCAGTATCAGGTGGCGAGGCGTACAAAAAGATACTCACGTTCGAATCAACCTCGTACACCCGGAAGCCAGAGTTAAGGTTGGTGAGTGGCGTTAAGGAGGGCGTGATCTGGAGCAACGTGAACAAGAAAGTACGTCTCGTAAAGAGGCAACCTACCCAGTTAGGGGTAAGAGCAGTGCTGCTGTTCATGACGGTGCCATTGTTCGAGTAGAAAATCTGTGCCGGTAAGGTTACTTTCTATGTCTAAAGCAGACGCGGAAGGTACCCACAGACAACTCGTCCTCGTGAGTGTGGCCGTTGTAGATGTTGGCGATGACGTGAGGCGAGAAGCGGTCGACGCTGCGAAGGATATTCATGAGATAGCTGCACAGGTGTTTCGCTTCAGAGATCTTACATCTGGTACACTGCAATGCCAGTCAGCCCAAGTTGACACAAACAACGATTAAGACTTACAGAGATCGGTCGGGTTACCGAGAGCATTGGTACCATCCCAGCCGGGTAGAACGTGGCCTATGATCCAGGCTACAGCGGCTCGTCAGCGCAACTCCAAGCTCTGGCAAGCAGAGGAGACGCACCACGGTCGCCAGCATCTTCAGCGGCCTGGAGTTCATCCGTCAGGAAGCGTAGCATGCCGGACGGATCGTGCGTCGTCATGTTAATGTAGTTGAAGTAGTTCGCCTGGTACCCTGTAAGCGGATACGACTCTCAGTAACACAGTCGCGCAGGGGTAACGAGCTGCACTTACACATGTCGGTGTTGAGCGAGATGATCCGCAGGCCGTCCATGCGGCGTACCATGTACCCAGCGTAGTGCGTGCGGGCCTCAGCAATTGCGGCCTCCGGCAGCCATTCCTCGTGCTCCCACAGCGATGCGACATGGTCGTAATTCCTATGGAAACATGTATAGATGAAACGTTGGATAGCAGTGACCGACAGCGTACCATTGGAATTGGTCGGCGAGAGGAGGGTTTAGGGAATGCGGGGCATCCTGCGCTCTGAATTACGGTTAGCAGTGTCAGGGACAGCGTATATATGAGCGACTTTACTGGTTGTAAGTATCATGATTTCCGAGCGATGGGTACACCGGTCCAGCATTTAGTATACGCTTGAAAAGATCGTACAACACGACCTTTCCCATGCCCTCGTGAGACGAGATCACACATGGAGAGGCATTATGGACATACCTCAGTGTATCTGATGTAATCCCGGTCCATCTGGTGGTCTGGGTCGTGGGAAACGAGATCACCGGTGTAGATCATGAAGTCGAAGCCGGTTTTCACGGTGTTTGCGAGAACAGGGATGGACTGCAGACCAGCGAGGGCCAGGGAGTACGGGGTATCGCTGAAAACGTTTGATTAGTTTCAGCCTGGGAGAAGACATGACGCGACTTACCAGAGGAAAGACCCGTATCTAGGCGCGGGCCTAACGGTAACGTTCGGGCTCTGGTTGTTCTGGACATTTGTACGACAGCAGAGGCCGGAGCTGCAGTTTGCCTCAGTACCGGTGGCATAGCCTGCATATCCAGTGAGCGGCAGAAGAGGATATTTGAAGGGCCCAAGACATACGAGGATCGATATGGAAATCGGAAAGGTGCAAGACCTTAAGCCTCTCGCCGCTAGGTTGCTTCGGAGGAGGAAGCGGATCAGGCTTAGGCTTGGCGAACCAACCGGTAAGGTTCAGAGGAGAGACCGGCGGCAGGGGGCAGAGCGAAAGGAAGTTCGCGCAAAGCATCTGGAAAAGAGACGACCAGCCGTTATCACCGGTGAAACTTGATTAAGAGTTCCTCCTGAACGTACCTGACCATCGTATCCGCCCACATCCGCGTTGGCAACCACCTGGGTGATAGTCGGACCGATACCGAGCTTTCCGTACATGGTGTCGCAATCGCTGTTGAAGTTGAAATGGTGACATAAAGCGACAGCGAGAGCTGGGCCTTGTTCCGGGGCAGCCATCGACAGGAACTTTCCGATCTCCAGCGCAGCCTGGCATGCGGCACAGCTGTTGTTTGCAAAGACGGGATTCTCGGAGATGGAAATGACCTGCTCGACGGCATTGGCAAACAGCTGATTCTCTGATGCTTTGGGGGGAAGAGGGTGGGGGTCTTTGGTATCGTTCTAAAGTTGTGCTTGTCAGAAGAGATCTTCTGCTACGAGCATGAGGAACAACAATACGAACTTGAGGAATATGGTCGGGGTCGGTCAAGGCAAGCGGATACACAACATGCTACAAGAACAACACATCATCAACAGGAAGGCCTGATGGACAGTTTCTTTCAATCTCACCGTCACAGGATCTGAGATAACCGGTTGTGGTTGGGCAGAGATCGCAGTAGGGTTGTTGTAGTAAGACGAATACACGGACGTGGGGAAGACACCGGGGACGGCGAAGGACGAGGGACCGAGAACCAAGGGGCCGCTGCTGGAGTTGGCAGATACGGGACTGCCGCTGGTAGCTGCAGAAGCCGCAAAGCCGGTGTAGAGCACCAGGATTGCAAGGCTCAGGATGCGCATTGCTGGACGCTGGCAGAGACGAAGAGGGGTCCCCAGAGTGTCTTCGAGGGCCGCATCTCGCGTTAAATAATGCGCCCGCTATCAAGGTAAATTGTGTGCGCCTGACGCAGACCCGAAGAACGCAAAAGCTTACGACAGGGCTGAGAAGAACGTGCGTGCAAGCGAGTGATTAAACGTCTCAATTTGCGTGAGAAGAATGACTTGGTTCCCGGACAGCCGTGGATGGACATTTGGCTGGAGGGTGTCTGCGCACGTTACTACAAGCTGTGTCGCATATCTACGCTAGAATTGTAGTGGCGAATATTGAGAGCGCGTTCGAGGACGAGAGGCAAAACGCGCGGCAGGTAATAACTGCGGGCGTGCTTTCACACAGCGGGACCACATGACCGCCACCGACGTAGGGCAGCTGGCCTTCGCGAGCATCGTTCGACGCCTCATGCCCTGGACGGCTGCTGTTACCATGCTGCTCGTGCTGCGAATAGCACCCTGCTCGAAGATTACAGTAACTCCTGGTACTCAACTCTCGGAGTCCGGACAGAGCAGCGATGTGCTGGTCAGTGACTGAGTCAGTGACTAGTCACAAGTCAGTCTGACTGTGACTGAGACCGAGCGGTCACCGGGTCTTCATCACGGGAAGGGCTACTGTCCAATCAGCATTCAGAACTCCATCACACCGACGATGCCCTCTCGCAGGGTCCGGACTCCGTAGCAAGTAGAACAAGATTGTAGTACTAAAATCAGAGATAAAATTCACTTCTTCTTGGCCACTGGCACTGTGGACATGCCCAGGATACCTCATTTCTCAGTTAGTCTGTGGCAGGGCTAGTAGGTGCAACGCTAGATGCAGGTACAGCGCCGGGAAGACAGCGATATGCAGAGTGCACAAGCGGTGAGTACTGAGTCCTTCACCGAGGCCCGAAGCAGCTCAAGGGTGTTCTGGCCCACACTACCATTATGAGCGTTGCATTAGCTCAGGAACATGATAAACTGCTTAGTACACATCGCGCCGTCTTCCAGTAGCCGTACGCGTACCTAGGTG